CAAGGGCTCTATCCGCTACTCGGTCGGCTGCTACCCGAATGCGATAGACCTGGTGGCCTCAGGCAAGGTGGATGTGAAGAAGCTCATCACGAACAGGTTCAAGTTCGAGGATGCCGAGAAAGCTTTCGAGCTGGTGAAAGCTGCGCAGGAGGGCGTCTTCAAGGTCATTATAGAGGGTGTGCAATAGACATGGGCGTGAATGGAATCGAGATGTTGCATACCATATCCCTACTTTGCGATGATGAAAACCTGATGTGCCAATATTGTATAGCAACGTTGTCTCTGTCATTCAGCCACAAAACCATGCGCCGAAAACAGGTTCAGGGCGTGGCGTATTGTTGCGCAACACTTCGGTATCGAATGCTGCGTGACTACGCGGGATTAGAATAGCGCCACGAGCCGAGCGGCGGACAGCGTGCCGTCCACACAGCAAATGCAAGCGGTACATGGACAGGCGGGATGCAAAGACGAGTCTGGAGTGTCAGGCACCCGATGGTCGACTGTGCCCCGTAACGAGATTCCCCGGGCTAGGCTGATATGACGCAGTTAGCGTTGGGGTGACAGTCGACCGTCCACCCGGCATGACTCGCGCATCACCCCATTCCATCCCGATCGTCGCTGCAACCCGCATTCCACTAGCATGAACCGGCGCTCAGAACCTGGGGTAACAAAGCCATGTGCCGGCTGTGGGCATACCCCGTAGCCGGGTCATGCAAGACCGTATATATATCCGAGTTGTCGACGCGTGTTTCAAGCCTTCTTGCTGATTGATCAGAAGACTTCTCCCGACTGTTGTTTCTACTGTCATCGCGATTGCAAAGATGAAAGACGCCGATATCGTTGGTCATGCCATAGCGGAGGTGCTGCCTCAGACTAACAAGTACTGGTTCCAAATCCCGCACCTGCGACGTTTGAACTTAATCTTGTTGGTACCTCTGCTGTCTTCGGCTGTAGCAGGATATGATGGTGAGTATAGCTCCGCCACGCCTTCAGACACAACAAATCCCGCTGACACTCAACAGGCTCGTTGATGAATGGTCTCCAGTCGCTCCCCCAATGGCAAGGATACTTTGGCCACCCTACCGGAGCCCTTCTCGGTCTGGTCAACGCGGCACAATCTGCCGGCTCCGTCGTCGTGCTGCCGTTCGTCGGAGTGCTCTCTGATCGCTACGGCCGACGCATAGTGTTGTTCAGTGGTCTCATCGGTGTGATCATTGCGACCATCATACAAGCAACAGCAACAACATTGGCGCAATTCATTGTCTCACGAGCTGTCGTGGGCGCTGCGGGCATGTTCGTCGTCCAACCCTCCCCGATGTTAATCGCCGAGCTGGCCTATCCTACGCACCGAGGCAAGTACACAAGTGCTTTCTGGACTATGTACTACCTCGGTGCTATCTTGGCTGCGTGGACAACGTTTGGGACTCAGAACCACTCGGGGAATTGGAGCTGGAGGATACCGACGATCTTGCAGGCTGGATACCCACTAGTGCAACTTGCATTCTTCTGGACCTTGCCTGAGTCTCCCAGGTATGAATCGCGAGCGCTGTATAGAGCTTCGTAAGTACTGACACGGTAATCAGATGGCTCGTCGCCAAGGAGCGGCACGATGAAGCCCGAGGAATCCTTGCCCGATACCATTCTGGTGGTGACGAACATAGCCCGCTAGTTACCCGAGAGATGAGCGAGATCGTTCACGCCATTCGACAAGAGAGTGCAGCCAAATCGGTACAATGGAGTGCGCTTGTTGCTACCCCTGGCAACCGGAAGCGGCTCTTCCTCGCCGTGTGCGTCGGTGGATTTGCACAGTGGAACGGCATAGGGGTGGTGTCCTACTATCTTACCCTGGTTTTGAACTCGATCGGCATAACGGATCCATTTATGCAGACGCTCATAAATGGTCTGTTGCAAATCTTCAACTTTGCCGCAGCTGTAAGCGCGGCTCTCTTGGTCGACCGACTGGGACGACGAACGCTTTTTCTCTGGAGTGGCATCGGCATGCTAATCTCGTACATTGTCTGGACGGCATGCTCGGCGGTCAATAACGAGGACAACAACAAAGCGGCAGGATATGTCGTCGTGGTGTGCCTCTTCGTTTTCTATTTCCACTACGACATCGCATATACGCCACTTTTGATGAGCTATCCGACTGAGATCTTTACCTACAGCCTCCGATCGAAGGGCATCAGCTGCGAACTGCTCTCCATCTATGTTTCTTTGGTCATCCAAGCGTTTGTCAATCCGGTCGGCATGGAGAACCTAGGCTGGAAGTACTATATAGTCTTCTGCTGTTTGCTGGTGGTCTTCCTCGGGGTCACGTACTTCTTCTTCCCAGAGACGAAGGGTCGGAGCTTGGAGGAGATTGCTGAGATCTTTGATGCCCTTGGAGCGTCGCCTGATGCAGGTCTTGTTGAAAAGGAAGAAAAGTTCGACAAGCAGCATATCGAGGTAGCCGGAGTATGTTGATTGGCAGTTTGTTGTAACCAATAGATTTGGCGTGGTGTCTTGGTCCAGACAAAATCGTGCTTCAACCCCATGCAAATTGCGAATCGGAATACACGTTGGGTCCGCTCGGTTGTGGCTGTCCTGTGTCATCGACGTCCGGAAGGAAGTCAGACCAGAGTCCCCCCTGCATCAGTACATCAGCCTCAGCATCATTGGCATTCGGCCACATCATGCTGTAGACGTTGTTGATCTGTGTCTGTGGAGATTCCTCGGTAGCATGTTCCAATAGGTTGCCAGCGGGAGTCGCGAGCAAGTGTGCATCCTGTCCAGGAATCTCAGATTGTAGGAACGGGCCACAGAGACGTTGAAGTACATTCAGGCAATCCTGAGCACTCGGATTGATTGATGACAATAGCTGCATAGTGTGCATTGTCCGCCTGATCTGCGCACGCCAACTTGCCGAGGAAGGTGAAGTAGGTTCGTTACGCAAACACACGCAGGGTATGAGCGAAGCCTGGAACAAGAAGTACAATGCGTACCACGCAGACATCCGCACGGGCGGAGAGCTAGCCCAAAATGTACTGATGGCATCAATGCTCATCTCAGCTTCACGGAGACATCTGGCATATGCCTCTTGCACTGATGCCGGCACAGTATTGTCCATGTCTTGCGATCTGGCTTGTAGCACACGGCGAATGACATACGGTCGATACATGATGATCCTGAAGTTGCTTAGCCGCCACCACATGATAGCATGGCTAGTCGCGAATTGAGCGGGCATAGTCGCTCCACGGCGATACCAGTCGGGGAGTGATGATTGCCATCTGTCTATTACAGTATCATCGAGACGAATCAACTCCGTAGCGGCTGGAAAGGGCATCGATATGACCTTTGTGTATATGTCATTTGTCAGAATGTGGAATTTCGACTGCATGATGACAGCACTGAACGTTGTGACGTGGTCCGCCTCGCTCGGAGCAGTGCGTGACAGATTAGTCAAAGCCCTGTCGGGAATGTTCAGAGGCAAATGAACTTCAACGTTCTTGTTGGGCCAGGCCAGAGGGCGACCGAATGTGACGGCTGCGCCAATGTTGAAGACAAACATGGACCACCATACGCGCCGGCGGATCTCCATGTTGAGTGGGGTGATGTCCCAATGATTGAACTCCTTGTGTAGTCCTAAACCAATAGCCATATGAAGGGCAAGACCAAGATAGTTGTACCCACTATTTGGCTTGTTCCGTTTCTGCAGGTAATTGGACATGAGCGTGAGGGTTTGGACAAGGGTGATGTTGCCAATTTCCAAGCTCTCAATCGACAGGTTGGACTTGGCAGCCATGAACAATCTCCTGTCTGTGTCGGCCGGGCCTGTAGCCGTTGTGAAATGACCTATCGCAGCGATCATAAAAGCGAGCGCATGCCAGCTACGGCCGTTGGGGCGAGGAATGACCTGGGCGTATTGAGCACGGAAGGTGTGTTCCTCCACGATAGGATACGAGATGTGGTAGAGGCTGAAGTAACCGTTGATAGCGGCATCGAGGTCGACGGCTCCTAGATCAAGGCTATCCCATAGAGGGGTGTACAGCCAGTGCCCATTTTCCGGTGTAGTTGTGCTGAAGCTGGACGTGGGTGGCGCTTTCCGCGAAGACTGCTGAGCGTCGGGAAGGAGCAGTCGCAACATGGCAGCACCTGACGCAACGCCTGGATAGCCTGCCTCGCTCTCATCCACGGTGAGCGAAGCCATGCCATCGACGACGCGCTCGTCTTCCCCGGGAGAGGTATGTGTATGTGTGCTCGCGGCGTCTGTCTCGGCGGGACCACTTTCCTGGGATTGTTCATCCCAACTGAAGTCAGCTGGACCAGAAGGCGGCCCTTCAAGCGAGACTTCAATGGGCGGTTCGTCGGCTGTGCCTCTTTTGTTGGCAGCATCTTCGTGGGGGGATGGCGCGTCGTCGCCCTGGGCGGTCTCGAGCTGTCGCACACGCGCTTCGGCTGCTTGGACGCGTTGTTCTGCGCGGGCGAGTTGAGCTTGTGATCGACGAAGTTGCTCTTCAACTTGAGTGAGATATTTGCGCGTCAATGGGGTTCTACTGTGCCGTTCGTAGAGACAGTGTCTCCTGTTTCTCTTGCAGGGCCCGCATTCTGGGAGCGTCTTGTCGCATCGCGCTTTCCGTCGGCGGCATTCATTGCAGGCTTGGTCGCGGTCGTGGTCTCGGTCATCACGTGCGAGGCTGTCGGTGCTGTTCATATGCGTCTGGCCCACTCATGCTTGAGGGTGATGTTGTGCTGTGTTGGATTGCGACGGATGGAAGTCGCGGGGTTGAGCTCAGGGCTCACTGACTCGGTGACGGTGCCAGAGGCACGCACTGGCGAGTCATGCCAGATTGTCGTCGATACATCGACATCAGACACAAGCTAAATCTGAAGAGCGCATACATCAGGTCGGGGTCTTTCACTTTCACTGTCTTCCATTCTAGCCGTAAAAGTCACGCTAGTTGGTTTTTTCAAATGCTGCAAACTGACATCACCCCCAAGTTACCAACACGACACCCGCCATGAGCCATTCTCTACCGCCCATACCCATGGACTTCCGCTTCCTTGATCTACCCGCCGACATCAGACTCATGGTTTACGAGTTCCTACCGACATGTCTCACGCACAACGAGATCACCATCGAGACGGACAATGAGAGCGGACTTCTTAAGACGAAAACCACGAAAGTCAAGCTCATTAACATTTGGTATCCTACTACTGTACGCCTTATCTCCAAGATCATCCGAGAAGAAGCTACACCAATCATTGCGCGCACTGCGGCAAAGCGCAATAGCGCACTAGTAGTCGACGGCTTCTCAGTATGAGCCATCTCATCGCAGAGTCATTTCGAAGACTCATCGCCGTACCGTGGATGTACATGGAGACGTACCAGCTCAGACTTCGTCGGCAAATCACAGTCATCACATACCCAACCACCCAATGTACCATTAAAGTCATTGCAATCGGATCATCACGAGACGAGCGCGCAAACAAGAAGACGACGGCTTCTCCAAGGTGTCGCGATCGGGCCCTAAACTCATTGTCTCATGTGGAGATCTGGAAGTCATTGCGCGCAAGCAAGGACCTCTTGAGACAGCTTCGGAGTTTCTGACCTGGTTTTTGGAGGCGCGCAGGACAGGATCTAGCTGCGTGACCGCTAGGCCCGAGAGTTCAGCTTCGGATCCAAATAGCTCGGCTATAATCAACTGGGCGCGTCAAGCTGGTTGGCATTTATCTCAAATGCGACCAAGAGCCAGAGCGATTGACATTGCCATTGACGCCGTGCATGTACTGTCGATGGGCCGTCAAGAAACCGTTGCTTCCTTGCTTCGATTCGAGGATGCAGCCGAGCGACCGTATCTGGCTCAACGACGCGACATCCGATTTAGAGTGTGTACAGCACCACTAATGTTCGCAGCTCATTCCGTGTCGCGGTATGTTCCATTGCGCGGCCCTTCTCCGGGTGGTAAATTTGGTTACTTTGTCGAGCACTTTGACCTTGAGTACGGAGAATGGATCAAGGCTTGGGTTCCGCAAGACTGCATTTAGCAGGTCACGGTAGGTTTGTGCCGCGTAGTAGCTATGTGGAATGAGGCTGACACAAGGTGCAGACAAGATAGTCTAATTAGCTCATGCGCTCTGGCATCGCCATGATAACCGATCAGCTTGAGGGTGTAGCATAAATGTAATAGGATGTAGGGTGTCGCAGAACCTTTACTAGAGACGGTGTATGTATCAGTAGAGAGGAATGTTGCTCAGCCGCGTTGACTTGAAAGGGCAAAAGAAGAAGCAGAACTTCAGACCAACATCTTGATGAGAATGACATGTATTGTGAGCTGAGCAACTAGGAGTGACTCAAAGTAGGAATGAAGAACGGAACAATTCCAACGACGCGATGTCACCCTTCCACCCGAATTCTGGGCTCGATCAGTGATTCCAAAAATCACTCACGTTCATGCTTGTTCCACAAGCACCCGTCGTGATGTGTCTCCTGAAGCGATCCTCTTCGCGAACCTCGTCCCAATTGAGGATGTTACGCATGAAGTACTGATATTCTGTACGGGCAGAAGCTGGTAGGTCAATGCCTCCTGTGTATGAAGCATTTTCCACGATCCAGTGGGCCCTTACTTCACGCACTTCTCTCGCGGATTTTGGGTCCCAGTTCCCAAGCGTTGGGACATTGCCAGTGACGAACACGTGATTGTCCGTAGACGGATGGTTTACGAAGACGTTAAAAGTAACGTGAACGTTACACTGACATGTCTGAGCTTCAGGCTTGTCATTACGCGTGCTGCCCCAGCTAGGACCCCTGACACCGCCACGCCGGTTCGCAGCCGTGTAGAAGGCAGCGTGCGACCATGTGAAGTCGGTTGCAGATACGGGCGCGCCGTTGTTCTTGTCGAATTGTAACGCGAGACCGCCATCCGGAGGCGTATACTTCCTCACCATGGCCATGTAGCCGTCAGCGTAGGCTTGCACAGCGGATAACACTGATTCGAAAGTGGCCGAAGCGGAACGACTGGGATAGGTGCCAATAGATATGGTTGGTAGTAGGTCGCGGAAGAAAGGTAGAGAGGTTTCATCGATCGTCAGTTGTTTTTGGTCCTGCCACTGTAGTCTTGCAAGATAGAGCTGCTCCGCGGCCGCAAGTGTGGTCACATACCACGGGTTACCGCCGTGATCAGCATCTTCGGGGTATCGGCCCACGCCTACTGCCCGGTTCTGGGAAGATCCGTCGTTGATACCGTATAAAGGGCGAAAGGAATCGGTCACGACCTTGTGATTGGCAAGAGCTCTTGAAGAGCAAGGTTGAAAGGTGCTGTCAACGCATCCAGCCTGAGGATCATACGTATGAATCGAGGAAAGGATGGAACTTGTGTCTATTCCACTTCGTCCGTGCGCAGCGTTGAGATTGGCGGTGATGTGTTTACCGTTCCAGAAGTCCTGGAGGAAGCACAGAATCTGTGGAGCCGTGACGGCGCAACCCTCGCAGTATTTACCCAAGGTCTTGCCGAGTGCCATTCCCTCGACGAGTGCGCGATGAGATGCTGAGAGGGTAAAGAAAGAAGAGCCCTTTACTTCTTCCCACAAGTCGAAGCTGGTCTGGTTCCAGTAGCGCTCCGTGTGTTTGAGGTCATCAAATACAATCGGCCAGATGAAATTCTGAACGAACGTCCGTACAGACGAGGCCCATACAGTCCCCTGTGCATCCGCGAGGAGATTATTGGCGTGGATAACCATAGCCGTAGCACGAAGTGCGGGACCATCTTGTTGGGGTCGGTTCCAAGCGCCCTTGAAAACATTGCCGTTGAATTGGAACTTGGGCTCTCCAGGACCCCCCGTATTGTCATCCCCAGAGGGATTCCGAGTAAACTGCAGGTCTCGCTGAGAGTGCACATAGTCGGTAATGTCGTCTGAAATTTCTGGGATGTCGGTCACGGATAGACGTTCAATGAGAACTTTGAAAGTCAACGCAGCTGTTCTGATCCACGTGTAACGGTCTCGATTGTCAGCTTTTAGTCGAGATGTGATGGAGGGTTCAAGAATGTACAATCTGGATCCGACCGACTAGAAACCACGATGCCATCTTTGATGTTCTTCAGCATCCCATTCAGCGAAATGGTTTGCTGAGCTTTGATGAAATCTTCGAGTGAATCTTCCCGCTGCTGGTGATCGATCGAATTCGCGTTCGCATTGACGAGGAGCGACGTGGCCGAAAGCACACGAAGCAGGAAAGCGGCCTTCATGTTGAGCGTTGCAGCAGGAACAATATTCGGGAGAAGAATGGTCCGTGCTGATGGTCTAGTAACAACTCCGATGCGTTATTGATGGCAGCGTTGAGATGGATGGGTGGGATGTTTCGGCGTGATGCATGAACAAACAAGTCCGGGCTGCAGATGACATCCACGCTCTCTGCGACAGCCTCTGCATCTTTCATACTTGCCAGATCAGCCATCGCTATGGGCAAGAGCCATGAGACATTAGCAAGCACTCCCATCGCGCCTCATAGTTGGGGAAGCCGCATTGGGACGCGATCAACGCGGGATTGAGCGCGCCAGGGTCGAAGACATAACTGCTGTAAAGCGAAATGCCCTCATATGAGTCTCAACGATGAGCAAGGAAGGAGCCATAGTGTATTAAGATGAGTGGTGCCGGGGGTGAAAGACGCGAAGGTTCGTGTCCAAGGTAGCTCGTGTCTTCGCTCTGACCAATGACGTCAGGTCGTGGCGTTGACGCGTCTGCGCGTGCCTTACTAAAACCTCTCCCACACCTTCACCAGCTATTCGACTGCGCAATTCGACATTGACACCCTTCCGCTCTCTATCATTGACAGCTTTGGTTCCAAACGATGCATGCGTCAGTCATGGAGACGTGTCGATTGTCGAGCACGACGTTCAACCTCTACTTGACCAAGTGTCCTTGGCAAGCAAGCCACGGAGGGTGCCTATGAGCCAGGACCTCAACTTCTTTCAGCATCATCGAGGTGAGATCGATGCGCAAACAATTCGTGCATATTTACATTGCTTTCACCACCACGTTCTGGTTCCAGCAAAGACCCAGAGCACACAAGGTGTGGCTACGCATCTACAGAAATATCATCAAGGTAGAAGTATGCAACATCTTAGCATCTACTTATACATTTCTAAAAGCACGTATACGATACGAATTCTAGTCATATCTCGTAAATCCGCGTTCGGAGAGCAAAGCTATAGTTTGGAACACACGTGGTTCACAGAATCCACTTCTCGACCCTGGAACCAACACTGTGGAACGAAAATGCCTCTGCTCGCTTGTACCGGTGAAAGCCGATTCCATCTCACTGTCTCACTCATCACAAAACTCCGCGTTCTTCTAATAGGACAGATAATCACTCGCCTCAAACCAGACTACAGAGTCGCACCTGGGCAACATCAGCAACCACACCAACAAATTCTACAGCCCGCGCATCCCATCACAACCATGGGCCCAACAGAACCACCTCCCTCGCTCCCCTCGCCAGGAAAGCCCACATCCTCACCACAGCCAGCCTCCCTACCCCCAAAGCCCTTCCCCCTCCTCTCCCTCCCCAAAGAACTCCGACAAAAGATATTCACCCACCTCGTCCCCAAAACCCAACACCACACCATCCCCCTAAAATCCGGCCCACACCATCTCACCCTAGTAACCACAACAATGCCCGGCATCTCCCTCCTCGCCACAAACCGACAAATCCAAACCGAAGCATCCTACATCCTCTCCCCCCACCTTTCCGTCATAAAGTCCACAGCCCCAACAATAATAATCTCGGCAGACCACCTCCTCGGCGTAATAAACCTCCACGACTCCTTCCGTTTCCAACCCACATTCTGGACCTTCCTCTTCCACCGCATAGAACCGCGAAGACGAGACTTCACAATCTGTTCTATCCGGCGTTACCGAGAGGGCGGAATCACGTCCGAACAGCTGTCCAAGAGGCTTAGAATGTGGACGCTCACCACCTCCCCAGACCCAAATCTAGACATCTTAGAAGCAGTAACAACATTCATCCTCCGAATCCTTTCCTACATAGCGATATGCATCCCCCCACCAACCCTGCACACCTACCCCCCTTTAAACATCCTAATCGACATACCCGTCTCCTTCACCGGCGGCCCCATAACAGCAACCACCTCCCTCCCCCGCAATATCGCGTATCGGATATTCTTCCCGAGTCATCCTTATCTGGCTCGCGTCCGACCTGGCCACACGAATCTGTCTTGGTTGCTACAACGTATGGTATATCACGCGTGTTGGGCGTTTATGTGCCGCCACGCGACGACGGTGTGCTTGAGTATCAAAGTGAGGTTTTTGGACGGGGAGGGCGGGGTGTTGCGGGGTTGGGCTGGGGGAGCGGAGGGGTGGGGGATGAGGGAGGTTGTGGTGCATAAGAGTGTGATTAAGGGGGTGAAGAGTGCGGGGATGAGGGGGAGGGGGGTTGTTTATTATGGGGGGTTGGGGGTGGGGGATTTGGTTTGAGGTGCACGGGCGAATTGGGATGTTGGGGAGGTGGGCACTTTGATGTTCCAGTCAGTTTGCAGAGATTGCTGGAGTGATGGTTCTAAAAGAGATCCAAACTTGCACAATTAGGGTATACGAACAGCCCAATCTACGTACGATTATTGCAATCTCAATCAAAGTACAAAACCGCCCGTGGTGACTACCTTCCAGTTGCGCACGGGATGCGTATCTTCCAGTTCTACACACCACCAGAGCACCTCTTTTGTCTTGTCGATTTGTCCACTCTCCTCGTAGGCCCTAGCCATCGCGTACCACGCTTCCGAATAGTCCCAGCCGGCACCAAGCTTTGTGAGAGTGGAGAGTAGCCCAAATGCGCGGTCGCGGGCCGCGAGACGGGTGAGCGTGGGTGACGAGAGCTGGTTCTCTACTGACGGTGTGTGAGAGGTTAGGTATTGGGTCTTCGATGTCGACGTCTTTGTATGAATTGAAGAGGCCGATGACTGTAGCGGAGGAGAGATGGCGTCGGTGTTGGCAGGCTCCAGCGGTATGACCTCACTGTAGATATCCAAAAGGATGTTTGAAAGACCGACGATGGCTTCAGGGTGGTCTGGGAAATGTTGTAGAGCGCGCTCAAAGTCTGCACGAGCTTCATGCTTCATCGACTGGGCTACAAGCTGTTCTGCGCGCTGTAGCAATGTCAGTAGAGGTAACACCGACGATATTGGGAGACTTACAGCAGCGAACACATCCGCCCACAACTCCTCAACACTCTTTCCACCACCCCACCCCTTGTCAGCTAGCGCCTTGGCCGTTGAGTGTTCCAATGACACCTCTGCTTCAAATGTTTCGACCAGCTTCAATGCCTCGGCAACGGCCTCTCTGGCATCTTGAAACATGTGCGCTCTCGCATATAGTCCAGAAATAAAGATCCATATGCTGACCAGCAACGAGACTTTTTGACGACGTTCTTGGATTTTGGAAAAGTGGGGATCCGCAGGTATGTAGTCAGCATGTGGCAGGCGCGAAGGCAAGCGAGTGTCCTGTCTGGGTGGTTGTTCTTCGTGACCCAAGGGCGGAGAGGAGTGATCTAGGTTATGGGCGACGGGTGGAAGTGGCGTGTCACCCTTTTCTATTGACTTTCCTGGAGAGCTGGGATTGGAAATGCGTCGAGGCGATTTTGAGTTTGCAGTGCTACTGCGTGCACGAGTGCTGTTTGGAACGTGTTCTGGAAGCGGTGGTACCTCTGGAACGGTGTCTTTGCCGGCCTGACCATCATCCTGCTTGTGGTGGTGGAACAGATGGTGTCGATGATGACCGTTAGTAGGAGCTGCGCCGTTGTCATCGGTGACTTGAATTGCAGGAGGCACTTCCGGTTGTGTGGTAGCTGTCTTGGAGCTGACCACAGATTTACTTCGATCAACATTTTCTTGCTGAGTCGTTCTGACTGACCCTCGTCCGCGGAAGATACTACCTCGTGTGCCCGAGGCGGTCTTTGGAGGCGCCAGCGACGCAGGTTCGGGTGGAGTCTTGACTTTGTCAGCTGCCGGATCGCCGAACAGTCGACCGTACAGTGCAAGGAGCTCGTCACATCCGTCAACCGCAGCGGTGGCACCATCGGTGATCTCGAGAAGCGACAGCTGCGTCATTTTGATCTGCAGTATATTGCTTTTTTCGAAACGTTCCATACGATCAACAATGCCAGATTCAAGAGGCTCTTGACCGGCAGCCTCTTGGAGGTGTTCGCTTCGGAATGCGCCCGAATCACGGCCGAACAGGACAGCAGGATCGCCGAATTGTTCGAAAGCCGCCTCGCATGCCTTCTCAGCAGCGGTAAACTCAGACCTCGACGTCAAAAGCAGGGCAAGAAGATGCCACACGGGTATCAACTTGCGTTCGCGCCCATATTCAGTGGTGATGCCATCCGACAAAACTCCGTCTACACTGACCGTCGTGCCCTTTGTTGCCGGAGAAAGTGCACGCTTGGCGATTTTGATGGCACCGGGGATGTCCCTTGTTTCAGCGAGAACCAAAGCGAGGGCGTACAGAGCTTCCACATTATGTTCGTCGCCGAGATTAGGTGAAAGCGACTTCCTGAGGTACTGCACAGCTTTGGCCTGAATCGTGGCCCGTGCCTCAACCTCGTAAGTGAGCCGTGCCCAGTGTGCTTGACTGATGCCAATGGCGCAATAGGCGGCAGCTAGGGCTGTGGGTTCGACGAAAGATGTGCTCGAAGCAATTGAGCGGGAATCAGACGTTGAGCGAAGGTGATCTGCCTGCTCTAACCAGTGCTCGATACTGTGAGCGATCTCGAGAGCTTTTTCGGCGTCATGCCTAGATCCCCATCTACAGAGCATCCTGATGGCCTCGGCGGAAGTCCTCAACACGATGCTGTCGTCGTCAATGCCAGCCTCGAGTTCGCCTGACTTTTCCGATCGATCCTTGTTCCGCGTGATGATCTCGACATAAGAATCGTAGGCTTTGTATGCCAACTCAGGCTCGGCTAGAGATGCGTGGACAACGAAGAGGTTGCGCAGGATCTGGGTCGAGTGGTACGTCTTGGTGGCTGCTCGATAGAGGATCTATATTACATTAGTCATTGGATCTTGTCGGGGTAGATGAGTAACTTACATCAAGCACGCCTCGCGCAACACCCTCTTTTCCACCCTCGCCTAGATCATCGTCGCTCCAGGTGGGACCGCAGAGGAGGCGCCAGTTGTCCATGACGGAATCCACCCACGTTTCGACTTCATGATTGGTCTCGCTGGCTTTGGGAAAGTGTGTCTCTCGTATCAACAGGTTCTCGTAGACAGCCTCGACGCGTTTCAGCTCCGCCCGCTGCCGTAATCGAGCGTCTGACTGGGCGGTAGGCGTTGGCTTCTCTTGTATGATGGGCGTGGAATCGGGTTCGTAGGCGAGGTCATAGCGGAGGATGGTTGATAGCGAGTCGTAGTAGGCCTTCCATGCTAATCTTCGATACCGTGCTGAGTTGCCAACGTCTGATGCGGCGTTCTTGGAGGTTGCATCCCAGAACTTTGCCCAGTAGCGGTAGGTGCGCAGAGCCTCGGACGCGTTGATTCGCTCGCTGAAGCCCATGGACTGGTCGGACAGCTGACAGAGGCGGACGAGAGACTGCTCTCCCCACATTTTGAACTGGGCCGATTCGGTGTTCGGGGTGGTTGTTGTGGACAGCCAGGGTAGTATTGACGAGTAGATGGTGGCTGCCTCGCCAATTGCACCTGTCTTTTCAAGCGCGGAGCCTAAATCACGTCAGTTCGCGGGCCAGAATGAGGTCATACAGTATAGCTGTACCCTTGAGATATGTGCCCTTGACCAGACACACCCGAGACCAGCCGCTCAACGTGCCTGCTTCGCCCGACAGCTGGGTCGCGACTGCCCCAAAGTCCTGTGGAAGCCGCGCCACTGCCAGTCCCGGCTCGTCCAGCACGTAATGGGCCCAGCCGAGGCAGACGTTGGCCTGGAAGGCGTCTTGACCCTGCGTGCCATCTTCTTCGATTGTAGCGAGCAACGAGGGTATGATCTGTGACAGGCCGGTGGTGGAGGCGGCAGAGGAGGCGGTCGAGGGCCTCTTGGTGCTGTGTGCGGCTATCTGGGCGTCGGAGCGCGCTGTGAGGGTGAGGCCTTGGGTCGCCGTTAGCCCTCAGAAAGACCAAACAGAGAGGTTTGCTGACATCGTCGGTGCGGCGCATGCTTCTCGACCTTGCGACACAGCTCAGGCACGTCGGCCCATCGTCCGGCGCATCGAGCCTCGTCCAGCTGCTGTATGTAGCGCTTGGCCTTTTCGCTCTCAGGGGGGGTCTGTAGGTCCTGTAAGCTACCGCTGTTGAAGATGACGTTGCTTCGGCGCCAGGGGAGAGGGAGGACAGCAACCTCGACATACCACCATGGTGCTAAGAATATGCCTTTGGCTCTGGACAGGGTCGCGATGTCTGTAGAATCATGTTCGACGAGCAATACTGAATGCGACGACGCCGGCCATGGCTGTACACATGTCACTGACCGACTGCACAAGTCCCACTCTTCTGTGCAGTTGGCCCGCACATCCCTGCAGCTCTAGCGCGTGCGGTCCGACGCTAACTCCGGGCCTTGAACTTTTTTCTATCAGCCATCGACAACAGCCATTCCGCTGATCAGAGACGGGCTGATCAAATCAATAACCAGGGAAATCGCCATCACCATGGCGCCCATTGCTTCTGAACTGGCGACGCTGCGAGCGCTCAGTTTCCGCATCTCGTCCACGCCAACATCCCAGCTCCCCCAACACGTGCCTGCCATAGCTGCGTCATTAGCCAATTGCAGGACCCTCCTCTCTTCGGCCCAGGCCTCAGGTACCAAAGCGACGTCCTCGGAAGCATCCGTTGCTATACACAAGTACCGGACTCTACTCACCACTCTGCTTCAAGACCGGACTCCCCAAGGAAGATGGTGTGCCATAGTCTTGATCAAGGCCACGATTGAAGTCGGGGGTTGGGAGACTCTGCAGAAGAGTTTGCCATGGGTGCGTGGCCTTCTAGGATTCTTGAACAAGCCGGATTCGCCGTCGTCAAAGAAGCTCTGCATTATCACCCTGACGCGCATCTTCCTTCTGACCAGAGAGTACCCGACGTTGATCCGCGAAATCACTACTCCGTCGCTATCACCTTTCGTCCAAGTTTGTCTGCAGATAGCAAATGCCAAAGCTACCCCCGTCAGTCTGCTACAGATCATCCTAGAAAGCTTCAACGAGCTGCTGCCCCGACACCCTACCATCTTCCGGTCTTATCTAAAGCAACTTTACCCGCTTCTCGGACGTCTCATCGCACCCACGCCATCTGATAAACTCAGCCAGGAGCAGCAAACTGGAACCAATCATGGGGCTAGCTCGGACATCGCAGCTGCGGCGCGCCAACTTTACGTCCAATTACCTTGCTGTGCACCAAAAGGAGCTTCGAGCGAAGAGTGGACAAAGGCTGTCAAGAACATCACAAACGTTACCCATCAGACAACAGACCGTGTGTTTCGCGCTGTGATCGAGGACTGGCAATCTACGGCACGTGAAGCACCTCTGTCGAACGGTCACACACTTGATGACGAAGTTCAAGATCTGGAGCCTGGCTCAGATTTGTCCGCCTGGTCGGGAATGTTTGCTGGTGGCGAACGCTTGACAGGCCTGCTCTACATCATCAAGGAGTACATCGAAAGTCCCACAGCCAACACGGTGTATCTCAACGTTGGCATGATCGTTGACCTACTCTCGAGAATGCTTTCCCTTACCATTCCCGTGGCGGCGAGCAAGAACTTCCAGTACACCGTACGTCTAAACGCCCAAGTCAGCAAGGACGAGCGTGAAAGCCTTTGGCTATTGCTGCCAGACGTACATGTCGCCGCGATTGAAGTGCTTCTTGCTCTAGCACACAGATCCCAGAGCAGCACGTTGGCACTGGACCCTGCCATCATTGACCAACTTGTGTGGGTATTTAGTGCGGAAAAAGAGACAGCTCAGATCAGAACAGCATGCTACACGGCGATTGCTGCTTTGTTGAGGAGATCTGGAGTCGCTCTCCATAAGACTACCATCGATTCTCTCGTACCTCTCATCCGCGCTTGCTGCGACGATCTACTACCGCCCGAGACCGCGGCGCCCACAAACCAACAGACTCCCGGCCAGGCTAAGGCCAATGGCAACAGTCAGCCCCAGACCACTGCCAACGCCGATAGCTTCCTTGGCGCTGCGAAGAACGCCGGTGGCCCCAACGCTGGATTCCCTGGACTCCAAACAGCCGTGCACGATCTGCTTCCGGTTCTACTCTCGAATATCCCAGCTCAATACCTGTCCGACTCGATGCGAGCTCGTCTAGACCGCACCGCCATTCTCACCCAACACAAGGACGCCATGGTAGCCAGCGTGCTGAACCCACCACCGAGTAAGAAGTTTGGAAAGCCCGCAGCAAGCATACTACCACTCATGGCTCGATCGTTCTCCGCCGAGATGGATGTAGAGGGTATGCTCAGACCAAGGATGCCAATCATTCGCCTGGGCGGCAAGGATTTGGAGTTGGACGATGGCAACGATGAGGACCAAGAGATGGAGGAAGAGGTGGAAGAGGCGGAGGAAGAAGAGCAGCAAGCTCTGGAGCAGGCGGATGACCACTTCGCTGGACAAGAGTTGGACAATCTGCTGGAAACCGCTGGGCAATCGGATACGGCAGCGAAGGACTTTGCTATGGAAGATGCGCCAACACCCAGCAAACCCGACCTCCCAACTCCACGATCAGTTCGCAAAGGTACCCTTGCGCAACGCCCTACGATCTCCGAGCCTACCGCATTCAGCGATACCAAACGACCGATAGGCGAAGATGGTCCTCTTTCGCCTTCCAAGCGAGCAAAGACTGGCGAAGACGAGCAGCGCACAACACACCCAATACCTCCTACGCCAACAGCGTCTGTATCTTTCAGCAAATCTACTCCCACTACGGAGGTAGCCGCTACGTCAGATTTCGCCGCTACCAGCACCGCCTCGGCTGTCCCTGAACTTCCCGAGCCAGGTGAAGGAGGCCTCGACGACGATGACAGTGACGATGACAAGATATCGCTTGTACTTGGGGTAGACACGGACGATGATTCTGATTAGCGCTTGTGTGGAAACAGTAGTTGTATAGTCGCCTTGGCTTGCGAGAATGTAGTGAAGTAGCAATAACAAGCGCAATCTCTGCACGGACATATATCTCGACCTCGCAGTGACCGATGATTTCTTCAAACTAGTCCCTACAGCCCACACCTTTCCCAATTACCTTCATCCACGACGCCCTCGTCTCCGTAGACACAACACCTACCACCGCCCACCGCCCGCCGCCCGCCAACCCGCCCGCGACAATGACACAACCTCCCCAACGCGCACCAACCAAACGCACCGTCCCCAAGATCGTAGCCCCCAAACCACCCGCAAATCCCAAGAAAGAAAAGCGATACCCCTTCGACTCGCACCAAGACGACATCGTAGTCAACACCACTGAACTCGACACCGCTCCCGGCTACAGGCGTGGTCTAGTGGACTATCGGCATAAACTCACGCTGAAGAAGACGTATGCGCATATCACGACGGACTATGCGGAGGATATGAAGATGACGATTCCGAAGGATGCGATTACGCCCTTAGGGTCTGAGGCGCGAGATGATGGGGATGGGGATGGGGATGAGGATGAGGATGACGATGAGGATGGGGATGAAAAGGATGATGAGAAGCCCAACGCCAACGCCGCCAACCCCAAGTCCAAGCGCGACGAACGTACCTACGTCCCCGAAGTCAGCGACACAATCATCGACTACACCAAGCTGCCCAAACCGCGCTGTAACCGCCCTAACTACGTTGAATATATCTACCGCGCTACAACCACCAACCCCGCCGTCTTCCTCGCTATCCTACGTGTTGCAGAGAGGAATCTGCCGTTTATAAATTTCGACTCGGCGATTACACATTTACCTAATTTATTGGCGAATGCGAGGCTTCCTGGTATACCGGCCCTCTCAGCTCTGTCGTCCGAGTCATCTGATGCGTTGGAGGCGTCCGCATCGTCAAACCACCCACAGAAGAAGAAAGCCAACCCACCCGCTTTCACAGAAGACACGCCCCACGAGAAGAAAGACGCAGACATACCGATGACGATCCTCTTCTTGCCGAACCTGTACAAAGACGGGCGCCACGCACTCGGGTACTACGCCCTCGCCCCAGAAGCAGACCCAGACACAAAACAACTCAATCCCGAAGACGTTGTGCAGATCCTCTTCACGCCGTGCGGTATATCTGATTTAGTGGAGGCGAGATTGTTGGAGTGGACGCCTATTGATCCTGATCTTAAAGCGCGGGCTGATGAGAAGAAGAGCGCTGACAAGAAGGGCGATGCGTTAGGAGGTGGGGATGGTAAGGGGGATGGGGATGGGAAAGGAGGGGATGCTGGAGATGGAGACGAAGAAGAAGAGTTGACTGTTGAATACATTGAACATGTGGCTGCGAGGGGGGGCGAGTGGTTGGAAAGGGATGTAGTGGGGGATTGGGAGGAGTGGTGTAGGAGTTTCAGGGTTGCGAGGAGGGTTTGGGAGAAGGTGCTTAAGGGGGTTGTGGAGGTTAGGGAGGTGGAGGATGTGAAGGAGGAGATCGAGATGAAGGAAGAGGCTGGGGTGAAGGAGGAGGCTGGGGCATGATAACATCGCGATTGGGCGGCTGATGATGACGTGTATGTTCAGATGGACCCTTGACGTTCATGTTCCGCTGAGTAGCAGAGTCCTTCGTAGATGCGTCTTCCTTTTAAGTCGCGATACGCTTATGTGTATGATGTGGTACGTAATAGTACATATCGTATGAGCAGAATATAAAAAGGGCTTAGTTGTACGCTGAGCTTGGATTAATCGTGTAGCTATGTGTCAATCATGTTCATTCGACGTCTTGATCTTTCTCTCTTTGCTTTCCTCTTTCGCAGGTGGCTTTTGATCAAGTTAGCGATGCGGTAGTCGTAGTGGCCCATCACCCACCCCTTTAAGTGACGGTATTTGCTTCGCCCACATGTCTCGTACCCGTGTCGGAGGAGCGCTTGACTCCCTATTGTTCTTTAGCGTCACGAGCTTTGCATCGATGTTCAACTCAAAGCGACTTCTTCCAATGAATATCTCCCTGGAGATCGATATCCAGGCCTTAAGACGAGCTGTTCCAACAACGCCGAGCAGGACGTTTTCTGAATCGCACAGTGATTCGAGTGGTGTGGTCATACAAGCATCTCTAGACTCAAACTCTAGGTTGACCGTGGGAACTGTCCGTTCTTGTATCATGCCAAAGTCTCCGGGTTGTAAGTTTGCTGAGATGCTACATTGTAGTTGTCCGGGAGAGGGCTGACTCCAGTCCACGCAAAACCGTCCAGCGTGTGTACTGGAGAAATCTATACTGCCGAGACGGGATGTAGCGTCGGGCAGGTGCCCGGCGAGTAGAGGCGGTAACGATGTGACATGAAACCCCAGTTCGTGGAAGATTGGAGATACGTTGACGCGTATGGGCGCTTTAGCATGGCGCTGTTTTTGATTGGTGGCCTTTTCGCCGACGAGGGTGATTCGAGCTCGCTTCATGTTGCTGGGATCGTATCGTAATCCCTGGGATACCCATATCACTACAACAATTAGCTGCTTCCCTTTAAGCATATGGTTTTCTCGGGAGCGTACGTTCTTCGGGTTTCAGCTGGCGGTCGGTTACCAGAACAGCCTCCGTAGGATGCTTCGACCCTAGCCGGAAAAGAGTGACATCACCGGAACTTCGCCGGAAGATCAGCTTCTTTCTATGCACAGGTGACAGTAAGATAGCCGGTCTCATGGAAGGATCTCCATCTATTGAGCAGTCCAGAATGCCAAGGTAATCATCTCGAGGCGTAAAGGCACTGCTTTCTTCCAGCGGACATATGAGCATGTCGATGGATAGCGTGGTCCCAGATAGACTCGTGTGCGTACCGCGAGTCGGCATATGCATATTTAGTATCTCATCGCGGAAGAATGTAGGGTGTGGTGCTAGTAACGGCGACTGTTCAATAACAAAATCCTCTGACAGATCCGACCGGAAAGCCAATATGGAATGATCTGACGATATGCCAAGGATAGCTTTTTGTAGTCGGTAGAAAGCTTTCTTGCCTTCGCCGTACAACAGGGGCATGTTCACGTCGAATAGCCCCATCAGACAGTAGGCGATGTCTTCCTCTCGCGATGTCGTTCGTTTAGAAGCCCATTTCATTTTTTGCGCCACGCTGAATCCGTCCAGCATTGATTGCACGTCGTCTTCCTCGGTACTTGTGCAACATTGACATTCCCTCTCTGTAATCGTCTTCCGGGAATATGAGGTGTCGTCAAGTTCACCTGTGAAACCCACGACCAAATGACCCTTCTCCGTCGGTATTTTGAAGCCCATCTGTCTACGATGTCTTCGCAACAATACCGATGCGTGGATGCCACTATTTTCCGACAATTGTGCCGCAAGAGATATACGACTCCCAAGGATATCCCAGTTCATATCGTAAAAGTGCACGCGATCCGGAGCGATCATCTCCTGTAGCGTCCAACCTCGAGTGAGCCAGCGACATTCGGATAACGAACGCCGGTTCCCAACACTGATATCGGAGATATAAGCGTAGCAGATAACGGCATCGCGGTACCAGCGAAACATGGAGTTGATCGCCTCCGAAAGCTCTGTGCTGCTGTCCTTGTTGATGTTGCATGTGTCTATCCAAACGAAGTCGCATCCATCTTGCAAGGCTTGTTCACATGTTTTCTTGATCTTGAAGTAGCCTTTCTTAGCACTCCATTTGGCCCTGGACGTGTCACGGATATCTTCGAAGAGTACTTCCCCATCTTCCCATGTATGCGATAAGATCGCGTAATTAGGCTTGATCGCACCCAACACGTCGTGGAACTCATATGTCCTGGCGTTCAGAAGTCTCATGGAGGTCGTGATCCGATTGCGCCGCGCTTGCGCTACCGTGGGGGCGAAGAAAGTGGGGCTTCAGCTTTGATAGAATGCTGTCGCAAAGCGAGCCAGCAAAAGCAAGTGGTGACGTGTGGTTGTTTGGAAAGCTTCGAGATAATACTGTAGGTTTCGTCTGGATGCACCATCTCAGCGCGAGTCCTGAACCTCGAACCAGATGCATGAAGTGGCGTGAAGATAAGTCCGCTTCAGCTGCGCCCCTCACACACATCCTGGAACGATCGCATGCAGATGACCTACGAGGTTAGCGCCATGCACACTTGTCAATTTTGAAGCCTGGCATCATCAAGAAAGTACTCAGCCTTCTTCGTTGAAGTGCGGGTGAGAACAGACTTCCGTCCACGGACGTCGCATGGAATCCATAGGTGGAATGCGGGATCGCGTGCGCGGAAAAAGGCCAGTCCAATATTGAGGCAGCGCAGCACCCTAAAAGATGCGACAACTGTAGCGTAAGATTCGTGAAAATTGAGATGCAAGCAAACACGTCGAAAGAAGAGAGCACCGTAGAGATTCCGAAGCTCCGTTGCTGGTGAGTTGCCGCTGCCGACCGCACCTGGGCACGTGACGCGCGACGCTAGTCTCCTTTGGTGTGCCTAGCGCGACGCGCGCACGCGTTCTTGGGCGGCGGACACCTGGGCACCTACCCAGGCACAGTACTCACATTCCTGCACGACATCTCTCACACGAACCGCGCTTCTCCTGCTACAATGATGACTTGTGGACAGCTACAACATGCCCGGGTGTTCTCTATAACCAGTGGCAATGAAGGTGCATCCTGCCCTGGTGGCGTCGACTCTTCAGGGGACATCTGAACGCCATTCTCATGTATTCCCACCCTAATATACACCTCCGGCGATCATCAGGAAGCAACAGCAGACCGCACTCAGGGTCGAAAGCGCGTTTTTCTTTTTATCAAGCATTCTGGCGTCACATCGACCTCGTCGGTTCTCGTCTTCGATATATACTTTGCTGGATATCTTCATGCGCTTCTGGCACCATGTCGGCGGATTTGCGAATACCGAGCTTATGATACCGTTGTGGAAAGTCAAAGTGATTGCACTGGGACAAGAGAAAGCAGAAACGAGAGGTGTAATACACGAGAATTTTTCACTCCGTATTTACTATGGCTGCCAAGCGCTGGACCGAATTCCCACCGCCACACTCAACCTGGGCGGAAGCGTAGATTCTGGGTTCGTCATCGCCTTTGGATCTGTCTTTTCCTGATTTCCTCTATACATTTCACATCACTAAACTCAATAAATTCCCCTTATTGGGACAGAGTACACTCGAGGGGGGACAATACACTAGAGCCACGATGTTGTTTATAATACTCCTCATCCTCTTTGTCTGGTGCGCCGTCGCGGTACTTCCTGTCATTTTATCTTTCCTAACATCATAGCTAGCGCTCCAAACGGATGCATGGGTTGGTTCGGCGATTCGTTGGTAATCCCACAACCTTTCAATCGTCACGATAATAACACCCCTAGGTTTGGCGCCGACAAGAGCGGTCGTTGGCCGAAGCACCCCGATAACAGCGGCAAGACCGAAATCGCCTACTGCTACGAAAACCAGGCTGCCAAAGATGAGCTGGAAGGAGTCATAGCGGAGGGCTGGGGAGCGTGGCAGCGTTCTCTTGGTCGCTGGGGCAAGGAGAGCGGCCATTCACTGCTCTTTACACGGCGCCTTGTTCCTGGCCAAGACATCTACTGCTACCTGGCGAATGGTGATTGGAACCAGTTGTTTCCGGCAGACACCGTCGTTATCAAGCGTGGTGCTCCAGGGGGCTGGGCAGCAGCGTCTTCTTTGGGATACAGGTCTGAAGGTTCACCTGGTCGTCATCAATTGAGTATCGGCAATGCGGAACAAGCACCGAACAGAGATCTGGCCTGGGGTAAGTTGAGAAGCAATCTTTGATTGTCCGGACCCGCTAACACGTAGACAGTCGTAGCTCACGAGCTAGGTACAGCTATTTTTCCTCCATCAGTATACAACCGGTAACTAATCGTATTCGTCCAGGCCACATCTTCGGTTTGATGCACGAGCACTCACGCGGAGACCGTGACGACCACGTCCAGTTCAACTGCGCCAGTCTCACCGGCTACCACGAAGCTCTCCAAAAGGCTACTACCGACGGCTTTACCATAAACGAACTCTGCAACATCTTTAATGTCGCGAAGCACTACCAATTCGACGCTTCAGAGTACTACAAGTGGACGAACGACGGCTTGGCATACAGCGCAGAGTATGATTACGATTCAATCATGCACTACAGCTCATGGCAGAGCCACAACCCTGCTCTTGTCAATCAGGATCAGAACAACCCCGACAATTACCCTTTGGTTCGACTCACCGGCGGAAAGAATGGTCAGAAGTCGCTCCTTCCGCTGCCACCTCCGAGTGGGGAGTGGGGAATTTCTAGACTGGATAAAGAGGCTATCAAACTGTTGTATCCGTGGGAGTAATCGGCCTTCCCGCACTGGACCAGTGATCTTTATGATACCGACGCACTGACGGCCATCACCGCTTTTGGATCGCTCGATCATTCTATTTTTCGCCCACGACCGCGAATAGCTAGATAAAGACTTAGACGGAAGGTGTCAAAGAAAACTACTAAGTACACTTGGAAAGCTGCACTTGCTGTAGCTCAACTTTGAGCTCAAACTTCGTGTCTCACCATATGCTCCAGACT